GTTTTACAAACCCTCCCCCAGGTCCCCTCCACCATGCAGCCCTCGCTCTAGTCTCCTGTGATGACAGAAATACCCAGTTACATCTCTCTTTTAAACGGTTCTCTCCCTCCTCTTAAACAAGGCAATGTTTTAAATAATTCTAAAGAAGAAAGTTAATTTTGATCCTGGAATCATTTTAGACTCTATATTTCTTACCTACCTCTAATATACAAAGTAAGTCCATTCAAATCTTTCAAAATTATAAACTAAGCAAAAACCAGTATACCTCTGAAAATCTGTAACTATGAGAACATATATTACTTATATGTAATATAGATTTGTTTAAACTACGAAAATGTCAAGTTTTCTTTTTAAATTGAAGGAACACAGGGAATCTATATACTTACCATTTTGAGCTTCTTGACACCTTTTAATCCAGACAATGAAATTATCATTTGTACCTAGAAAATAACACTCCTGTAACATCACTCACCTGCACAACTTAACATATTCAATTAACAAATACTAAGAATTTACTATGACTAAACAATATTTTAAAGTTAATCCTCAAAATTTAAAGAGGTATGAGACTTTGAAGCTAAAGCAAATCTGAATAAAAGAGGATTCATTATATAATTAAAACAACCTTATATTGGATTCATTTTATAATTAAAACCACCTTATATTGGCATTAGTATGAGTAGAATTGAGAGGCCAAAAGTAAAGTCTTTCAACATTGTAAACAAAGCAAAGTCAACTAATTTTCAAGAAAGGTGCCAAGTCCATTCAATGGGAAAGGAAATGTCTAAGGAATGGTGCTGGGAAAACTGGACTGCCACATGCAAAACAGACATTCGTTAAGAAGTTATTCACCTGGTCAGTAAACATATAAAAATATGATCAACATTAGCCATTCCCAAAAACCACTGCCATTGATTCTGACTCAAACAACTCTAAGTGTGAAGAGAATTGCCTCATAGTTTCAGGGCTGTGATCATCAACAAGGATTTTTGATGGCATAGCCCACAGCAAATTGTGTTGCTAACCCCAAGGCTCCAAACCAGAGATTCACATCCACTAGTCACTCTGAGGAAGGAAGAAAGTGGAGTGGTCTCCTCCAACCATGATTTAGAGCCTCGGAAACCTGACAGTCTCCTCTATGAATTGGAATTGACTGAATGGCATTGAATGACTCTTTACAGAACCACACTCATAGTAGCTGCTGAGTTCCAATCACCCTTTCAGTTAACAGTCAAACACCATTAGGGATTCCATTAGCCAACAGGAGATACAAACAAAAAAGACATTAGATAGCATGTCACCCTCTAGTAGCATGCTAATGACAAATTAAAAAACTGGAAAACAACAGGTACTGGTGAGATGGCAGAGAAACTAAAACCTTCATTCATTATTGGTGGGAAAGGAAAACAATGTAATCACTGTGGAAAAGTTAGGTAGTTACTTTTAAAAGTTGCAGATAAAAAAACCTTATGGCCCAGCAGTCTCAATCCTACTATACTCAGAAGGGCAAATTGTAAACAATGTCTTTGCACCAACATTCACATTTCACAATACCCCAAAAATAGAAATGTTCAGCAACAGATGAAAGGATAAAATGTGGTATTTACTTAAAATGTACTACTACTTGGGCTAAGAGAAAAATAAAGTCCTGATGGACATAAGAAGTTTAAAGATATACGCTGAACAAACTAAAGTCAGGAAGAAAAAGGTAAATACTTCATGATTCCATTTATATGAATTCAGCCAAATATGTAGAAACCAAAAACTTTTAGTTTACCAGGAGTGGAAGAGAGAGGACAGGAGCAAGTTTTTCCTTTGAGGGAACTGAGTTTATGTTAATGGTGATAGGATTTTTTAAAATGTGGTCATATAAAACCATTATTATAGAATGAATATGAGGATCCAAGAGGGGGGGGTGTGGAAGCAGAGAGATGCGGATGTGCAGGGTGAGGGGGAGATTAATTATGGGGTTATACAATTGGATGGAGGGGTGAGGGAAACTAGAAGACTCTGGTCTGAAAATAAAATGTATTTGAATTTTGTTAATAAACTAATATAATAATAAAAAATGTGGTAAATATTACAAACTGAACATGAGAAAACTGTTAGGATGGAGTATGTATTTTTTTTTATAATTAAGCACAATTTAAAAATAATCATTATCTGGGAGCCTTACTAGTTACCCTCTACACAAATAATTTCCATTTACCCCAACTCCTTGCTCTTAAATGAACTCTTTTACCTACAGAGAAAGCGGATTGTCAATATCCCACTAGTTAGGGTAGTATGGAGGCCTGACCACTGAGTTAAAGGCTTAAAAGCTTCTCCTTGGGGAGCTCTGGTGGCCTAGTGGCAAGGAGCTGCAACTACAATCCCAGAGGCGCACGGTTCGAATCCACCAGATGCTCTGCCGGGGAAGGAGGGACAATCTCCTCCTGTACCAGTCAGATCTGATTTGACGGTACACTCACACAAAAATAATAAAATAAAAAAAAAAAAAAAAAAAGCTTCTCCTTGCCCCAGCTTGCATTCCAATGTAGCTATTTTCTCAATGGCTTTTTTACTACCAACAACCAGAAACAACTTTGTACTTGTAAAATTTTTTTGCTTTCTCAAAGTGACATAGCAGCCAAAAGATCAAAGATGATGAACTGTGTATTTACAAAATAACAGCATATATTTACACAAACTAAATATCCACCAAAACAGCGATTATATTGGATCAGAGTAGCTTAAAAAAGTAATATTTTTAAATAAAAGCTTATTATCAGCAAAATGAATAAAAATTGAAAAGCAATTAACTTCTTAAAATGTTTTAATCCACTCATAAGATCTTACAATACCCCAATATACATGTCTATGCACACGGACATATAGGAAAGCCTGTAAAGTAGAAGTCTACCAACTATATCCTACTAATATAAAAATCCTATCAAATTCCTAATATTGAATAATATATTACATGGTTGAAAGTGAAGTAAGGCCAAGTTTCCTAGCATACAATGAAAACATAGGACAGTACTTTCAGTTAAATTTCTCTAGTGCCTAGATATCTATTGTCTTCACTGTCATATATTCTTCTCAAAAGTATGACACTAAAAATCTCATATTACTCTCTAAGCTTCACATTGCTTTATACTCTCATAATTTAGCCATCTTTATACTTCACTTCTCCATTAAAGGCCTTGCAAAATTTTCCATTTTAACAATATGAATGAGTAAAGAGAAACAGTTCTGAACATGAGAACAAAATTAAAAATTCACATCTTCATTAGGATCATACAACCAGACTAAAGACAGGGAACATAACCAAATGTTTACATACTGGTTTTCGTTTCCAAAGGAAAAATTTAAACTTAATTTAAAAAGGACAATTTAAAAACAACTATGAGATATCATCTCACTCCAGTCAGAATAGTAAAATTTAACAGAACAGCAAGCAACAAATGCTGGCGAGGTTGTGGAGAAACTGGAACCCTTATTCACTGTTGGTGGGAGTGTAAAATGAGGCAACCACTCTGGAAGGTGGAATGCCGCTTTCTCAAAAAGTTGCAAATAGAGATACCATTTGACCCAGCAATTCTACTATGGGGAATATACCACAAAGAGACCGTAACTGACATCCAAGCCGATATATTATGCACATCCATGTTTGTTGTGGCTTTGTTCACAATAGCAAGGAGTTGGAAAGAACCTAAGTGCCCATTAACAAACAAATGGATAGAGGAGCTGTGGTATACTCACACAATGGAATACTATGTTGCATTGAAAAACAAGGAACTCCAGGGGAGCTCTGGTGGCCTAGTGGCAAGAAGCTGCACTGCAATCCCAGAGGAACACGGTTCGAATCCACCAGATGCTCTGCCAGAGAAGGAGGCGCAATATCCTCCTGTACCAGTCAGATTTGATTTGACGGTACACGCACACAAAATTAAAAAAAAAAAAGAAAAACAAGGAACACATGCAATATTATTCAAAATGGGTGACCCTGGAGGACATTATGCTGAGTGAAGTATCTCAGTCACAAAAGGACAAATACTGCATGGTGCCACTGTTGTAGAATGGGACTGACATCAGGGTGGGGGTAAGACTGAGAAAAACTGGATAAAATATGTATACTGCATTGAAACAGAAAAAAAAGACAATTTCAATTATTTAATACCCCAAATTCTAAAATCCTTATAAAGTATCATTAAAAAATAGGAAAAATGCTAGGTTTTTGCAACTAAAATCTGAGATTATTCTAAAAAAATTCAATGGTATGATACTTAAACATCAGAAATACTTGATGTATATCAACTAATAAAAAATGATGAATATATGTCTGTAAAAAAAAAAACATCAGAAATAATAAATTTATGAAAGTATAATCCTGTAAATGGATAAACAAAATGCATTACACACACACACACACACAAAGAGGACCATTTACTACTCAGCCACAAGTCATGCTACATGACGCAATATTGATGTGTGCTTAAAGATGTTATGTACCGTCTAGTATAACTTATAGCAATCATATATGAACAGATCTGAAATGTCCTATCCTGTGCAATCCTCATTTCCTCTGACATACATGAGCCCAATGCTATAGTCACTATGTCTCTACATCTTGCTGAGGGTCTTCCTATCTTTCACTGACCATTCCCCTTTCCCAGCATTATCCTTCTCCAAGGAATAGCCTCTCCTAACAACATGTGAGGCAAAGCTTGGTCTTTCTTGCCTTTGGCTCTGGAGCACTCTGGCTGCATATTCTCCAAGACATTATTGATTTGTTTTGGCAGTCCATGTATCTTCAGCACCACAACTTAAAGGCAATGATTCTTCTGTAATCCTAATTCATTGTGTAGTTCTCAGATACAAAGTAAGTGACTGAAAAGACTATAGCTTCAATCAGGAACACTTTAGTCTTCAAACTGACATCCCTGCACCTAAGTACTTTGGAGAGGTCCTTGACAACAGATGTTTCTAATGCAATACATCTTTTCATTTCTTGAATGAAGACATAATAAGTAAAATAAGCCAATCAAAAAAGTATATATGCTGTATAACCATATGAGGGAAGAGAAAACGTGGGAGAATTTAATGGGATGGAAAAAACTATATATTAACAGTTCCAACAGCTGATTATTATTAATGCTGTCAATAAGTTGCACATCTATAAGAAGTTGAATTGTCTTAAGTTCCGTGATCGACACATTTACTACAGTTACAAGAGTAAGTGTTGTACAACTAATCACAACATGGAATTTAGTTCATTACTTTGGAGATTTAGTATCATGACTTCATGGGACATTGAGATAATTGGCCAAATACAACCTGTTTAGTGATTCTATTCTCACTGCTAATTTGATGCACAGACTATACCATCTTAAAAGCTTGCAAGAGACCATCCAAGGCAAAATGGTCTCTATTTACCCAGAGAACAAAGGAAGAGAAGTCAAAAATAAGAGGACATAGAACATTTAGCTAACTGCTTCTTGTGACCAGAAAACCTGGATAGTGTCTAGTTACCATTATAATTCTGATCTAAGAGTCTATGGAACAATCTTGATCAGAAGGGGGGAAATAAAGAACAAAATTTCTTATTATCATGAATTTTTGATTTTGTGAGCCAGACACACTGAATGAGCCAAAAACTATGAGCTTGAGATAATTTTTATTAATCGAAAAATATTTTCTAAAGTTATCAAAACCAGCTTGCTTACTTGAACCAGTTCTTAAAAGGCCAGGCTTGAGGAGTATACCTTTTAAGAACTATCTATATGGGAACAAATTAACAATAAATCAAGAGATTCAATAGAAATCTTAAAAGACAGTGAGTCTGTTTAATGAGGAAGGAAGAAGACAGGAAAATAAGAATGGTTGCATAACTTGAATATAATCAGTGTCACTTAATTGTATATGAGGATATGGTTGAATTTCTACATATACAAACACACAGCATGTTTTTACTATTTTGTATTCTAAACAGTAACAAAATAAGTAAAATTTAATGAAAAAAAAGTTCAATTCCCACACTTACCATCTAATTTCTGTCCTTCCGTAAATGTCTCTAGAGCCGCAACATAGTTTTTCCCATGGTATTCACAGATCCTAGTATGACCACATTAAAAACAAAAACCATATATACATGAGCTCATGGAAAACAGCTTTTCCCCTGAATTTAAAAAAAAACTAGTATTGTCAGAAAGATTACTTTTCTCATGGATGATAATAAAGTGATTACCTGAAATATTATATTGTAACATCTAGTACTATTTTCATTAAAATACAACTTTGAGAAAAAAAATGTTAAGTTTGGAACTCATTCTGGAAAGAATTTTTATTGTAATTCTATGTATTTCTTTATTACAAAACCTAATTATCCTAAAGAACTTTAAAGACGTTTCTTATTTAAAGAATAAAGAGGTATTTGCAACAGAAACACTCTGATATGCAGTTATGTTATTAGTCTACCCAGCTTGGTTCAAAATTAGGATGTTCTCTAACCAAATACAGTCAAATTATTAAAAAGGGATTTGAAATCCATCCACTTCATCTTTATCTTGCCATTATTCTAATCATCACTTTAAAATACACCAGCAGATCTATTACATATTGAAATTACTTTTAATAGAATACAAATTATATTTTAAATTGAATTATAATTTAGCTAAAAATGATAAATAAAAAATTTTAACATTTATGTAAGGCTTACAATAAGTCAGTCAACGAATTAAACACCTACTATCTATAGTCCAGGCCCAACAAGAAGAGTGGTTATTGCATACCCTTTCCTCAGCAAAGCAGTAGAATTATTTGGATTAAGTCTGAGAGATTTCTTTGCATCAACAGCAGCATCTATATATAAAAAGACAATTTGTAGTTCAGTTACTAACAAATACAATGTCAAAATTTTACTCATTCTGTTCAGTTTAGTGGAAAAGTCAACTCATTTTAAAATGGAAAAAGATGACCCAAGATACAATTTAAGGGGAGCTCTGGTGGCCTAGTGGCAAGGAACTGCAACTACAATCCCAGAGGCGCATGGTTCAAATCCACCAGATGCTCTGCCAGGGAAGGAGGGACAATCTCCTCCTGTACCAGTCAGATCTGATTTGACGGTACACTCACACAAAAATAATATTAAAAAAAAAGATACAATTTAAATGCACACCCATGTTTATCGTGGCTTTGTTCACAACAGCAAAGAGTTGGAAACAACCTAAATGCCCATCAACAAACAAATGGACAGAGAAGCTGGATATTTACACAATGGAATACTACGCAGCATTGAAAAACAAGGAACTCATGTAAGTGTTATTCAAAGTGGGTGACCCTGGAGAATATTATGCTGAATGAAATATCTCGGTCACAAAAGGACAAATATTGCATAGTGCCACTGCTGTAAAATGGGACTGACATCTGGGTTGGGGGGAGACTGAGAAAGATGGGATAAATTAAGTATATTGCATTTAAACAGATGAGAGAGAGAGAACTATTTAAAAGGGATGTATGATTAGGTATTATTGTCATGACAGGAGTCCAGAAAGAAGGCTGCACAGTGGAGTGGACTTGGGGAGAGGGATTGTGTAACTATGAAAGAATTTTTCTTTTACTTTTCAAAGAGAAGAATAAACTGGAAGGAAGTGGTGGGCAGGGAGAAAAGTGCAACAATGAATGAATGAATGGAAATCCAAAATCTCTGTAAATTTTCATTAAAATTCTTAATAATAAATTTTTTTAAAAAGGTACAATTTAAATATTATCCTAAAAGTCACATTTCTTCCTAATTACCTAATAAGCAGTTCCCTTAAAGCTCTTCAGTCACTGAATAAAGTGTTAGGTCACAAAGTTCACTTCTTTTTTCCTTTACACCATTAGTGTAATTTGACTGAAGGTATTTAATTTCCGAAAGTTATTATCTAGAATGAACATTTCGGAACTATACAATAGAGACATATTCACTTTATAAAAAATACAAATAGGAGCTTTTCATTTTACTATTCAGTAAAACAGTAAACAATAACCATAATGCTACTTTATTCTTTCTCATGGCCATCAAGTCACAAGTGACTCTCAATTGACCCTCTAGTGGCTTATTAGAGGCTATAAAGGACAAAAGAGATTACCTATCTCTCTTACTCAGCTGGTGGATTTGAACTGTCCACTTCTGAGGTGGCAGCAGAACACTCTACATAGTAGTAGGCCACCGGAAATCCCCATGCTACTTTATTAGCTTATTTAACACTCACAAATAAAAGCTGTATAAATTCTCCACTCACTGAAGGATGAACGAACAATAAAAATGTAAATGGTTACAACTTAACAGTGTTCTGATCACTTTTCAACTACTTCATCTTGAGATGACAGACTTATTTTAAAAGTCCCCTAAAATAATTTCTATCTAATTAATTTTGGTTTTTTATCTTAGGAAAAATTAATAAATAACTTGCAAAAAAAGAGACAACAGAGAAGTAAAGTTACCACAATAATTTCCAAGAAGAATGTGACAATAAGCTCTTTGACAATAATACTGTGCATCATCTGGTTTCTGTTCCAAAGCCTGATTCAGTTCCTGCAAATACAAATGTGGTGTCAGTATGTCTCACATTCTAAATCAACATGATTTTTAAATATACAATCTATTATCATACACTATTTAGAAGATAGCTATTATCATATGTTATTTACAGAAAGACAGCAGGTAAACAAGCTTGGAAGCTTTTCCTTGTAAGAACTCCAACCTCCTTGCCCAATCACCACACTCAAAACAAATCTCACAATCTAATAAAGCACTAGCAGTGTAACACCAGCAGTTCTTGGTCTCTAAAAAGAAGTCAATAAAGGATAATTATCACTTCATTTATTCCGAACCATTTAGTTCACAGATCTAATACCTAATTTGTAAAATCACAAAAGCCATGTAAGAATTTCAGATGCCTAAAAAAAATATGAAGCTATCCAAATATTATCCAAATATGAAGCTGGAGCACAGAAAAATTAAGAGAATCAATCACCTGTTACTGTCTTCTCTGTAGATGGTAGGCAGTCCTAACAAAGCACAGCATTCTGTTCTGAGACCATATACAATATAGCATGCCATAGCTGGTGGCTGTAGCCAGATGCCAGTGAGTCAGGCCCACCTCATAGCAATGTGGCTCATAATACAGCTCACAGCAACATGGCTCATAATATTGTGAATATTATTTTTTCACTGATTTCATGCAATATTGGGATTTTCTTTTAACGACTGATTTTGGGAAGTACATTACTAGGTTTTTCTTCCTAATCTTTACCGTGATGATCTAGTGAAACTGACATTAGCTATGTGGTAGCTACGTGTAAACACTAATTAGGAACTGAACTGAGTTTTCCCACTTAAAAACTGAAAATTCTACCATGGAATGCCCCCTTAGTATCTCATAGACAGGTAATTATTATCAAGAGATTAACCTTTTGCAACCAGGCAGTAACAGTTTATAGGTGTTAACAAGAAAAACAATGATATAAAAGCTCACATAATTTAATGTCAAGGGCATGTCCAGGTAAACAGGAACACTTCATACACTGTTCCTACACCCTAGAGATTTCGTATTTTCTTAAAAGGTAAAATTTTTCAAGAGCCACACATGTGATGGATTTAACTTTAACCTGGAAGTGTGAGTCTCACAAATCAAAATGTACTACACTTTTATGAGATTCAAGGATACGTAAAACACAAATCTCATGACCATTTTACCCCATCACACTGATCCAAGCAGTAGTATGAATCAGATCTCCTTACGAGGTCTTTTCTCAAAACTCTGTAATGCCTTTTTATTTGACTCAGAGCAACTACAAACAGGTAAGACTTTAAATGGTAAACAGCACATTCTGCCATTAAGGCTGTGACAAAGGCAAAAAGGTCACACAGGAGAGAAAGAAAAGACCAAAAGGGAACTCAAAACAGACTGTCAAAATTGCACTAAAGCATTGAAAACCCAAAACAAAACCGAAGAAATGAGAAGGAAAAGGATACACAGATGTTCTAGAAGAGCCAAGTAAAAACGATAAAAATGTGCAAAGTGGAGCTAGAAAATAACAAAAGAACTTAATCAACATTTTCAAGCTGAAAGAACTAAAAAAGTATCAAACCTTTAGTTGCATCAAAGGATGCTATGGGCAAAATTTTGAAAGATCCAGGAAGCATCAAAAGATGGTGGGATCTGTAAGGCAGTTTGGTATTTCCTGAAAAAGCTGAACACAGAAATAAAATACAGAAAACCAATTGAAACCATCAAAGACACTAGGAGTTAGTTCTTTGAAAAGGGCAATAAAATCAACAAACCATTAGCAAAACAAAATGAAAAGAAAAAAAAATCAAAAAAAGCAGAAATGGGCACCCGTCACAATAGAACCAACAAAATAACACTGGCATATTATGAAAAATTATACTCAAATATGAAAACCTAGAGGAAATGGACAAACACTTAGAAATTTACAACCTACCTAAACTGACACAACTGACATTGAACACCTGAACATACTCATTACAAAAGAAAAAATTGAAAACGTAATAAAACAACTTCCAGCCAAAAGAAGCCCTGGACTAGATAGTTTTACAAGTGAATGTTGATCAAACATTGAGAGAAGAACTGTCACCAATTCTACATAAACTATTTCAGAAAAGAGAAAGGGATGGAATACTCGCAGACTCATCTATGAGCAAACATATCTTTGATACCAAAGACCACCAAAATAGAAAACTACAGGCCAATTATCTCTCATGAACATAGATGTAAAAAAATCCTGAATAAGGGGAGGGGTGGGCAGGGAGAAAAGTGCAGCAATGAATGAATGGAAATCCAAAACCTCTGTAAATGTCTATTAAAATTAATAACAATAAAAAAAATCCTGAATAAAATCCTGGCCAATAGAATCCAATGATCCATTTTTAAAAAAAAGTAAATATATCTCCATGACCAAGTGGGATTAAAAGGTATGCAAGGATGGTTCTACATAAGAAAATTAATGCAATTCATCACACTAACAAAGCAAAGAACAAGAACCACATGATCCTATTAATTGACACAGAAAAGGTCTTTGACAAAATCCTAATTAAAACACTTAACAAAATAGGATTACAGGTGGAATTTTCTCAACATAATAAAAAGTATACACACAAACCTGAGAGCCAACATTGCTTTTAATGGAGAGAGACTAAAGGCTTTTTTAAAGACTAAAGTCCCTTTTGAGAAAAGGAACTAGGCAGGGATGTCTACTATTACCTCTCCTGTTCAATACTGTACTGGAAGTCTTAGCAATAGCAGTAAGACAAGAGAAGGAAATAAGAGGTATCCAAATTAGCAAAGAGGAGGTAAAATTATCTCTCTATGCTTAGAAAACCCTAAAGACTCAGCAAGAAAACTACTGGACATAGCTGACAAATTCAGCAAAGGGGCAGGATAGAAGATCAACATACAAAAATCAATTGGCTTTCTTTACAGTGACAAAGAGAATACAGAGCTGGAGCTAAGAAAAATAATACCATTCACAATAGCTAATTACAAGAGTAAATATTTGAGAATAATTCTAACCAGAATCACAAAGGATCTAGTCAAAGAAAATTACTGAACAATACTACAAGAAACAAAAAGAGACCTGGAAAAATGGAAGAATACACCTTACTCATGGAGGGAAGACTCAATATTGTGAAAATGACAACACTACCAAAGGCAATTTACAAGTTCAATGGAATCTCAATACAAATACCAATTCCACTCTTCAACGAAATGGAAAAGACAAACTTCAATTTCATTTGGAATGGAAAGAGGCCCAGAATAAGCAGAGCACTCCTTAAAAAGAGAAGGTAGATAGGAGGCATCTCACTCCCTGATTTCAAATCCTACTCTACTGCAGTGGTGGTCAAGACAGCGTGGTACTGGTACAATGACAGACACACAGATCAATGGAATAGAATTGAGAACCCAGAAATCTGCCCATCTAACTACCTATGGTCAACTGATTTTTGACAAGGAGATGATATCAGTTAAATGGGGAAACTACAGCTTTTTAAACAAATGGTGCTGGCAAAATTGGAAAACTATCTGTAAAAACAAACTCAAGCAAAATCCATACCAAACTCCATACACAAAAACCAACTCAAAGTGGATCAAGGACCTAGGACTAAAACCAAGGATTATAAATTTCATTAGAAAAAAGCTTGGAAGAACTCTAGAAGCCCTAATCCACAACATAAACAGTCTTCCAAGCATCCCGAAAAACCTACCAGGAGAAGATAAAATAGATGAATGGGACCTTCTAAGAATCAAATCCCTATGCACATCCAAAAACTTCTCCAACAGGGTGAAAAGGGAAGCCACAGACTGGGAAAAAGTATTTGGTAATGACATGTCTGATAAGAGACTTATATCTAGAATTTATAAAATACTCAAGCACCACAACAAGATAAGGTAAACAACCCAATTGAAAAATGGGCACAAAATATGAAGAGACATTTTACCAAAGACATTCAGATGGTGAACAAACACATGAAGAAATGTTCAGAATCCCTAGCTCTAACAGAGATACAAATCAAAACAACCATGAGATATCATCTCACCCCAGACAGAATAGTAAAATTTAACAGAACAGCAAACAACAAATGCTGGCGAGATTGTGGAGAAACTGGAACCCTTACTCACAGTTGGTGGGAGTGTAAAATGGTGCAACCATTATGGAAGGCAGTATGGCGCTTTCTCAAAAAGTTGGAAATAGAAATACCATTTGACCTAGAAATTCCACTACTGGGAATATACCCTAAAGAAACCAAAACCGTCACCCAAGCAGATATATACTCACCCATGTATACTACAGCTCTGTTAACAATAGCAAAGAGTTGGAAACAACCCATAAACAAATGAACAGATAGAGAAGCTGTGTTATGGAATACTATGATACATTGAAAAACAAGGAACTCATGAAATATTATACAAAATGGGTGACCCTGGAGGACAATATGCTGAGTAAAATATCTCAGCCACAAAAGGACAAATACTGCATAGTGTCACTGTTGTAAAGTGTGACTGACATGGGAGTTGGGGGAAAACCAAGAGGAGACAAATAATATACACTGCACTGAAACAGATGAGGGAGAGAAGAACTGTTTAGGAGAAATA